TGCCTTCCTCCCCACCCTTAAATAGGATTTACATAAGGTGGGAAGCCTTTGTTTCCCAAACTCGACCCCCCCCCCCCCTTTCCTTCCAGTGGAAAGTTACAAGAAGTCCCAGGTTTAGTATCAGGTGACAAGACCCATGTCTCTGCAGGACTGTGGCAGCCATTGCTTGTAGTCGGTCTCCAGCGTCCACAGGCAGACTGGGCTCTTTCACAGTCCATTGTCTCTGCTAATGGCCCATTAGCCCTGTCTGGCTTTTCTACTGTTGTACCCAAAGTAACACATTTGAAATACAAATATATAGTTAATATTCCTAACTTCAGATACAGAAATGATACAGGCATACAAATTGGACAATCACATTCAGTAAATAATAACCTTTCAAATGATATCTCTCACATGAGCCATCTTGCATAAAGTAGATCTGTTATGTCATATTCATACCATAAGCATATTTTCACAAAGAATTTGGAATGAAACGTCACACAGCCTATTACCTCTGTTGTGTTTGGAATGGAAATGGGGAATTGGCCTGTCTTTTGATTTCCCCCTTTAAACCTGAAGCTGAGTCAAGTGTATGTTTAAGCTCCCAGTGGTTTATTGCTGGAAGAATCCCATCTTATTTAAATCATTAGCTAGAAGTGGTGCTTGGATTATTCCACTTAGCTCAGAGGTAATCCACTTTCCTATTCATGAGCTGGGACCGGAAGGGCTTTAGATCTTTTTAAAAGTTGAAAGAGAGGGCATGTTTGTTCTCCTTTTGTATAATGTGTGGGAGAACAGAGCTGGGACCTACCAAAGGAAAAGATCTTCAGGTACCAGTATAAGGTTTAATCAAAAGAGAGATAATTTCCTTCTTCCTTGCTTCATTGTAACAGAAATGTAGTAGGAAGTCAGTCATTTCATCTTTTAAGCACTGTTTACAAAGTGCATAGGCATTGTCTGTTTAAGACTGGATGTTTAGCACTGGAAATGTGCTGCAATGGGACTGACTGGTTACTTCTGGGTTCTGTTCTAACTCTGCCTCTGCCACATTGTGTGACCTCAATCAAGTCTCTCAACTTCTGCCCCAGTATATCCAGAGAACTTTTTATAGATTGTAACTGACAGTTATGGCAATTTTCTGCAGTATCTTGAATAAGCCTTATTGAATTAAATTTAAGTATCTTAAAAGCTCATTGTATTAAAAATGCAAATGTTTGTGTTATTGTGGGATTGTATGTCATTGTATGTTATTTGTCTAGGAGACATGGCTAATGTAAACCTTGGGAAGTGTTATGAGCTTTGAAGGCTTCTTTTAAACAATGCTAGGACAAGTATGAACTTGTTAGTTGAGTAGGTTTCCTAGGGGAGTGGGGAAGGCAAATGCCCACTTCCACCCCATTTGTAGCTTCTCCATGGGGAGGTGATCTTTGTCTACAAACGACCTATTTCCACAGTCAAAAGGCCCAAATGGCATAAAGGAGTAACTCTCAGGTTCATGGGTGTTCTTGTTCTGAGCAAAAGGAGTTATGAACATGTGGACTGTTCATTGGCCAGAGCACTTGTTGGAGTCGGGGCGATCTCTCTAGTAAGCTTATTTGTATACTTGTAGGTTCTTTTATTGTTAATGTTTTCTCTGTAATGCTTTTGCCTTAAGAATAAATCGATTTCCTTAGAAAGAACTTTGTGGCAACTTAACTGTATTTAGACGGAGCTGTGTGGCAATTATGCTGTTTACTACCTCTAAGGAGAAAAGTAAAGCTGGTTGGCTTAGTCAGGATGACTCTGCGGGGGAATTTGCAGTGTGGCCATGGAGCTATGCAGCCAGGAAATACCCTGTTCAGGAGAGGGAGAGACATGTCTCTGCTACAGAGAGGCAACAGCTGCGGTGCCGGAATACCCTAAGAATAGGTGCCCTTGCAGGACCATAGAGGGGGAATACAGGTGCAGTTGCCCTCAAATGCAACTAACCATTTTTAAAATTGTGTAATAATACTGACCCATATTTCAGGGGGAGTTGAGACTTTTCAGGGATAAAATCTTTGATGGCTTTTTTTAATTGTATTACTGTATACCTTATTTTTTATGCTATACTTTGTATAAAGTTTAATCACCTTTTTTCTAGTTAGTTTTTTTTTTTAAGAAAGCAATTGCATTTAGATACTCCCTCTGCAGAAATATATGATGAGTTTAGTTGTAATGCAAGTAATAATGACTACCTAATTAAATAAAGATTTTAAGGCAAAACATATGTCCTGCTCATAAAAACTGTGATGAAATTAGTGTCAAAACAGGTTAGATTAGTTTACTGTTTTCTGGCAAAACCACAGTAGACAAAAACCACAGTATAGTAATTAGGCTAGGTAAAGAAGAGCCCATATTCAGCTCTGATGTTGGTCAACATGTACCCGTACATGTAAATAAAAAATCTATTCAATTGACTTCAATGGGTAAAACAGATTTATTTTAAAGTATGTACTTGTTTAGTAAGTCCTAAAGGGCAAATTCTGTCCCCTGATAAATGCATATGGGAACAGTTTGTGCATCGCTAAAGACAATGTGGACCCTAATTTATTAAAACTGAAACCACATAAAGCCTAGGATTTTCAAAGCAGTCTAAGGGAGTTAGGTGCCCAAATCCCACTGAATTTGTATCCCTTATGCGCCTTTGAAAATCCAGACAAAATCTCATTTGTTTTTCATTTTGATGGTGTTTATTGACTGCATTTCTTTCAGCTTTGGATAGATTAGACTGGTCTGACTTTCTAGGCTCCTACACTAGCACAAAGCTGGAGTTTGGCATTTCAGTGCTACGGGGGGGAAATTGGCATTTAAAATATTTATTTTTTTCAGTGTAACACATTTTCATGATTAGTAAAATTTAGTTATTTAATAAGTGCCCCTTATTTTTACAACATCTAATTTTACAGTTTACATTACCCGGCAGTGTCTGCTTTAACATAATAGTAAAGTTAATAATTTTTCAAAACGTAATTTATGATTAGAGATTTTAATTAGGAAAAAAGTTTGGATTCTTTTCAATAATACAATTAATGCAACGCCCCCTGTGATGGGTTGTCACTCCCAGGATGCAGTCTGGAAGCAGGTGGAACCGCTGTCTCTCCTAACCATTCAGCTGGGCTGGTCCTTCTCCCACTGCTCAGCTGATGATTCAGCCAGCCTCTCCAGGCCCTGTTATCACCCAACATGACAGCAGGTGGCATCACACACCCAACTGAGCTACCTGAGTACTTTACCTAAGCCACTCAAGGGTAGACAGACAAAACAACAGCCAGTTTCCTATCTCCCCAGCCTTGCATCCTTGCTGGAGTATAAACCTAGTATTATACTGTCTTGCACTGCACAGGGATCCGTACAATGCAAGCTCATTAATATAGTTCGCTTTCCCGTTGATGTGTGAAATATATGCACAACAAGCCTGTGTTAACCAAGCTGAGATTTTCTCAGACGCTTCACTTAAAGACACACTGGTTAACATAAAACAAGTTTATTCACTACAAAAAGATGTTAAGTGATTATAATGACAGCAAACAGATTACCTAGCAAATAAATAAATAAACTGCAAACTAAGCCTAATATACTAGATAGATAGGATTTGAATTAGCAATTTCTCACCCTGACTGATGATACAAGCAGTCCACCAAGTTTCCATACACAGGCTAGAAATCCCTTTAGCCTGGGATCAGCACTTACCCCAGTTCAGTCTTTGTTCCCTTGTGTGGGAAGTGAGACCCTGAGATGATGTCACTCCCCACCTTATATAGTTTTTTCCATATGGCAGGAACCCTTGGTTCCAAGCTAAGTTTCCAGCCAAGTTTGTGCAAAAATACAGGTACCAAAATGGAGCTGAGTGTCATGTGGTCTGGTCACATGCCCTTGTGGGCCTTGCTGAGTCATAGCAGCCATTACTCATTGGCTAGCTGAAACGTTCACAGGAAGGCTAAGCTCTTCCATGGTCCATTGTCTTTGTTGATGAACCATTGTTGTACCTGAAAGACTAGTTGTGGGTGTTACCTAGAATAAGCACATTTGAAATACAAAAACATTGTCAACATTCATAACTTCAGATACAAAATTGATACATGTACAGAAATCGGATAATCATATTTGGCAAATCATAACTTTTCCAATGACACCTCACCTGACCGATCTTGTGCAAAAAGGATCATAATTATGCCATAATCCTATCATAATCATCACTATGATGAATATGGGGTGCAGTGTCACCCCCCCCCCATTCCTCCCTCACCAGAATTGCAGGAAATATATTAATCAAGCACTGTTAATGAAATTATATACCCCATAACCATGTTCCTCAAAATCTGAGTTCTGAAGTTTGTTTCATCTTTTCAAGAATTGCAATCCACAACTGAAACAAGGGGAAGGCAGGTATGCAGTGCTGAGACTGCATATACATATCTTCTAACTGTGGAGCTCTTAATGTTCACCTAGTCAATGGAGAACAAAACGAATCCCAAACTTGCTTGGGTCTTTATGAGCAGGTTTGACTATGGGTTCAACCTATCTAAAGACAAACAAACCTGTACTTTCAAGAAGCCTTGAGTGCTGGCTTAGCCACTTTCTGTGATTTGATGATTGGAGCTCTTCACTAATGACATTGTATGTCACTTTTAAAATGGAGCCAAGTCACAAATTTTGTAAAGAAGAATGGAATTTACTGAACAGCGTGTCTCTTTGCTGAAATACATTATTATTAAGGCTCCTGAAGAGCCAGAACATGATTCACTTTGCTTCTATAAGCATCTTACAGGCACTAAGAGCCTCAATGGCTTTGAAAAGTAAATCAAAGTATCTGGATAAAAAAATGTCACTGTTATCCATATTGATTGTAATATTATCTTAGTGTTCATCGCTCCTTGGTGTTTATCTAAGATAAAGCAAAATAATATTTGTACTAAAACCACCTGTAGTTGGTTTCCCCATGAAATTGGAATAAAGCTTTTTACCCTGAAATTCTAACATGTTTGTATATTTTACAGTCACATTAACCAGAAAACCCAGTTTGAAAATCCAGTATTGGAAGCCAAGAGAAAAAAACAGCTAGGACAGACTGATGTTGGCCCTTCAAAACCAGGTACTTTAAGTGGCTGTTCTTCACTATTAGCTGCAGTATCTTTATGAATGAAGAGCGGTCTCAAAAGTGAAACTTTCTGGGTGTTTTAGTTCAAGTAGATCTTCATTTTGTGTTTTTGCCATTAGTTTTAAATGTTCAGTGTGCTCCTAAATAAGTGGTTTTTCACTGTCTTCTATTGAGATGAAAACTTGGACTAAATTAACGTGCTTTAGTGTATGGAGTATAGGGAGTTCAGAAGTTAAGTTGAAAAAAAAAAACAGTTTTAATCAGCATTTTCACATTTCTGGCATTCTGAATGCTTATTTATGAAACCTTGAAAATGTTGCTTTAATTTAGCTTGTTGTATTTAATTTTCTAGCTTTTTCAGAACAAGTTACAGGTTCTGTAGCAGACAGCAGTCGTCATAGGTCAGCTTGCGTCTGTCAACATCTTTAGTAAACTATGCACATATAGCCTTAACAGGCTGCAGTTGGTCAAAGCTCAACTAATGTCTGACTATTGCAAGTTGAGTATGCATCTTCATATCTGAGTATGTATGCATTATTAATGCCTTAAGGCAATATTAGTGTTTCCTGTCCACTGGCCAGATCATTTGTAGTCCCCCCCCCAAAAAAATTGAGTTTTTTTTTGCAGTTGAAACTGATCTAAGACTTTAAAGTTGCTTAAGCAGCTTAAACCATTCTAAAGCTGGTAGTCAGAACCAGCTTGAACATTCCATTTGGTTAGGCAGCAAGGGAGTTGGGCGAACCCGTCAGAGGGTGCGGATGAAGCAGCAGCACCGAATTGTTAGGCTTCTGGCTCTTACCCGTTTTGAATTGGGCCTTGTTAAGAGATTAGAGCACAGAATCAAGGGAACTGGGAATGGAGACATGATAGTTCTAGTTCCAGCTCTGCTGCTGTTCCGCTTTATGGCCTGGGCAAGTCGTTTAACCTGTCGGTTCCCTTAACCCGACAGTTAAATGGGGTAATATCAGTGGCCTAGCTACCTATTTCACAGTGGTGTTGCAGGGATTAACCACCCTTTGTAAAGTGCTTTGTGCATGTAAAACATTATAAAGCTGTTTTAATGCACTCTTATGGTGCATATGCACACAACGCATCTGAGTGCATGCCTGTACCCTTAATAAGGAATATTGCATGCTCCAACACAATTTTCAAATGCTCCTAACTTTGTCAAATCAAAGCCAATTTTTTTCACTAACCCTCACAGTGGGCTATAACCATACCCACTTTCAACCTTTAGTCCTTTCAAAACTGTCATTTGATTTTTACAGCGAAAAGGTTCCTGTTTTCCACCCTTTCATAATTCAGAAGTTGCTGGTGGTTTTGGTTAAACGTTCAAAAATTTCCTCTCTCCCTAATCCTGTTTTGCAACATTATGTGCATTCACAGACATGTGAATTGGGTATTTTCAACCACCCTTTTTTCTTACCCTGTTAAACTATCTGGACTTACCTATGGGTCATTTCTTAGCAGAATTGCTGATGATGACAGATCATAGAATCATAGGAGTACTGGAAGAGACCTTGAGAGGTCATCTAGTCCAGTCCCCTGCCTCATGGCAGGACTAAGTATTATCTAGACCATTCCTGACAGGTGTTTGTCTAACCTGCTCTTAAAAATCTCCAATGATGGAGATTCCACAACCTCCCTAGGCAATTTATTACACAGAGTTTAACCACCCTGACAGGAAGTTTAACCCTCCGTTACTGCAATTTAACCCCATTGCTTCTTGTCCTATCCTCAGAGGTTAACAAAAACAATTTTTCTCCCTCCTCCTTGTAACAACCTTTTACATACTTGAAAACTGTTACCATGTCCCCGCTCAGTCTTCTCTTATCCAGACTAAATGTGTTGACTTCTCTTTACGTGCAGAACCAGAGAAGTCACTCTTCACCAGAGATCCAGCCCAACTTACAGGAGCCCTTATACGGACATCATTGAAGAAAAGCACTATGGGATTTGGTTTCACAATCATTGGTGGAGACAGACCTGATGAGTTCCTCCAGGTGAAGAATGTGCTGAAAGATGGACCTGCTGCGCAGGATGGGAAAATTGCGCCAGGTGAAGTAGCATTTCTCCATTTCAAGTGATGCTGCTTAGCCAAAAGAGAGGGAAGCAGTTGATGGGCCATGGGGAATTAGATGACTCCACCTGCAGACATTCTTTTTGAAACAGCCCCTTACCTGAAGCTGTTGTTTATCAGAGTGGGGAAAATATTATGCAGTGTCCAAAACCCTCAGTTAGAAAAGAAGCAATATTTTAATACAAATCCATGTTTTGGAAATTTGTGAGAGTTCAGTGGTTCTGTCTATTGCAAATCTTTTGCTGCATGTTACAAAAGAGTTATTATCAAGCTCAAACAATGGGCCACTTGAAGGATCCCTTGAACCTATCATGTGTTCATTTTATTGTTTGTGTCATTTCCTGTTTGGAGCTCCATTGTGCTGGGCAATACACACACATGCAGAAAGTAGCAGTCCATTCCCCCAAAAGCTTATGATCTAATTTAAGACAAGACTCTACAAATGAGTATAACAGTCAGAGTAGAGGAGGGATAACTGGTTAATAAATATTTATTAGATTGTAGTCCTTAATGAGCTAGCTCAAGGTGATGGTAGTATGAATGTTAAACCTTGCTGCCTATGTGCATTGTTGTCGTGGTATAAACTGTAATATGAGTTATTTTTTTACAGTATTTGTTTCGTGAGCTTAGTTTCCTCTGCCAATCATAGTTAATTGTTACTAATAAAATTGGAGCTGGTAGGCTGAGAATTTAAAAGGTTGAAATTATACCGTTCTATAATGTTTCTTTCTTTTGAGACTGATTAGCTTCCAGGGTTTTGATGCTGAGGCTGTGTGCAGTGTAATAATATTCCGAAGATAAACTTGTGCTTTAGTTTTGTTAAAATAGTTACTGAATCTAGAGAAGTGTATAAAGAGATTTTTCTCAAATAGTTTTAACATTACATTGGACTGGCTTCTTATGATGATTTGGCCTGCTTTGTATACTTCTCCGTCTAGTATGTAAGTTACCTAGTCACAGCTAAACTATTGTGCTTCTGCCTCTAATACAGTGGTACTCAGACTGAGTCTTGCAAGCCGCAATTGGCTCTTTGCAGCACATGATATTAAAATACTCTGTGCTTTAATTAACAAACAATCAGGATGTTTTTACTATCTTCTTAACCAATTGTAATTGATAAAATGCTTGGTCAGTCATTTTGCTGTGATTGCTACAAGGGGAATAATTTATGTGAATATTCCATTGGTATCAGTATGTAATTTTCTTTTCTAACCTGGATTAGATTTCTTAATAATCTAGCTTCTAACTCATTTGCCGAGAGAGGCTTGAGGAACTCCAGCCACCGAGTAACCTTCCTTCCATTGGAGCAGTGGATTATTTAGATTAGTTTAGTTGCTCCTGTGCTTTGTGACACCCCGTGTTTCCATTTCTTTATGTCTGGTGCCATGTTTCTTGCACCATTGTGGTCTGTTGCCATGATAGCGACATCTTTTCAAAGGTTCTCTTATGTGTTATCTATTGTCTTCCTCTTTTCCATGTTCCATCAAATGGTATGACGTCAAGGGCTACTCTAAGAGTACAGTTTTTGACATCTGCACAACATGCCCAAACCACTTCCTCATTCTTTCTTGAATCATTGTCTCTACAATCTGTTGGCCAGTCCTTTTGTAATCATCAGCCTTAGTGACTTTATCCCACCGCAGACACCAAGTATTCTCTGTAAGCATCTCTGATGGAATGTGTAGTTTTGTATCTGCATTGTTTCCATAACTGTAACTTTACGTGGACAGATAGTTATCTTGACTCACAACCACCCAGGCTCCTCATTCAATATATTGTATAGGTTACCCTTATCTGTCACCGATGGAAGTGCCGGGAGCAGTTTTGGGAGCAGTTGGCCATTTTGTTACACCCACCCCACTCATTCAGCCAACATCTGTCCAAACTGACCGTGGCAAGTGTGAGAATTTAAGGGCTAGTTTCAGAAGTTGCTGATGTGCCACTGCCAGCAGCTATGTTTGTATGCCAGATAATTAGAATCATTCAAAATATTTCCTAAAATTAAAACATAAAAATAAAAATTGAACTTTATAATAATCCTTTGCACCCCTGCCACACCATTTTTGCAAGGATCTCTGTGTGCTTTACAAATCCCCTGTTAAGTGATTTTTGTTCTCATCTTACATGTGGGGGACAGAGAGGTGGAGTCATTTGGCCTAAGTCACCCACTGAGTCAGTGGCAGAGACAAGGATAGATTCAGTACTAACGACTGAATCTCACAGCCCTTCTTAAAAATGTAAAATAGATAGAAAGTGTGTTAAGAATGTGGAGGTTATCTTGCAGAGGGAGCAGAGCTTGGGGAGACATGCTGATATGCACACAACGGGGGGTGCCCTCTTTTCTCACTCCTCCTTTCTGTGGCAACCTTGGTGTGAAAGAGAGGAAGAAATAAGACAAAGGTCAAAGGAAATATATACTTGTGAAAAAAGTGTTAGAAACTTAGTGTGTTAGTGAGATTTTTAGTCCTGAGCATTTGGGTATTCGAGATGTGTGTAAAGTATACGTCTTATCTTTCTGTAGGGAGAACACAGGAGAAGCAAGGACAGCAGGGACTGGATGCTACTAGTTATTCCTTCTGTGTAATGAGTAGGAATTTTTCAGTCCATGCATCATTCACAACTCTACTTTGATTCCATAAAGGCAATACACTTTCCTAAACAAAAAAAGAGAGGGTGTACTTTCTGTATGCTGCTGCTGCTTCTGTCTGGAGAGTAAGATCTAGTGCAGGCCTGCACAACTCGTAAAGCGGCGAGGGCCATATTACTCCAAAGAAAACAGCTGAGGGCCGAAACCCCCCGAGCGCCGCCAAACCCCGCCCAGCGCCACCCAGCCCCCCCAAAACACAACACACACCCCCAGCACCGCCCACCCCACAGAAACAACCCCCCTAGCGCTACCGAAACACCACCCCCACCCCGCGCCACCTGCCCTGTGGAAACAAACCCTCCTTCCCCAGCGCCGCCCCCCCTCCCCCCGAAACAGCAGTATTGAACCTCGGTAATATGTTATAGCGGGCCCCTAAGGTAGTATAATTAAGGTAAAAGAAAAATGTCTTTTTGCTAGAAGTAGAATAAGATCTTCCCCCCACTTTGTAATCAATTGCCCTGTTGAATGAATGAGGTGTGAATGAGGAAGGCGTGGAAGGCAGGCACCTCCAGACAGCTGCAACCCTTGGAGAGGGCAGGGCCGGCTCTAGGATTTTTGCCGCCCCAAGCAAAAAAAATTTTGTCTGTCTCCCCTTTCTTTTTCGTGCCCCTCTGCCCCCGGCCCCACCCCTTCTGAACCCCTTCCCCAAATCCCCAGAACCGCCTCCTCCCCTGGCGTGCTGCATTTCTCCTTCCCCATTGCTTCCTGCGGGCCCTCTGTGATCTCCCGCCCTAGCTCACCTCTGCTCCGCCTGCTCCCCCGGGCGTGCTGTCGCTCCGCTTCTCCCCCCTCCCTCTCAGGCGAGGGAGGGCAGAGAAGCGGAGCAGTGGCGCGGTCAGGGGAGCAGGTGGAGCAGAGGTGAGCTACGGTGGGGAGGGGCACAGGAAGTAATGGGGGGGTAGAGGAACCGCTCCAGCTCACCTCCGCTCCGCCACCGCCTCCCCGAGCGCCCGCCGCTCGGCTTCTCCTCCCTCCCAGCCTTGCTGCGCGAAATAGTGGTTTCGCACGTGGCAAGCCTGGGAGGGAGGGGGGAGAAGCGGAGCGGCGGCGCATTCAGGGGGGCAGGCGGAGCGGAGGTGAGCTAGGGTAGGGGGGGACGCAGGAAGTAACGGGGGGGGGTAGAGGAACCACTCCCCGCTCCAGCTCACGTTCACCGCCTCCCATGAGCGCCTCGCCACTTGGCTTCTCCTCCCTCCCAGCCTTGCTGCGCGAAACAGCTGTTTCGCGCGCGGCAAGCCTGGGAGGGAGGGGGGAGAAGTGGAGCGGCGGCGGCACGCTCAGGGGAGCAGGCGGAGGCGGATTGGAGGCGAGCTGGGGTGGTGGGGGCACTTTTTCCCCATGCCCCGGAGTCGGCGCCTATGATGGCCGGTGCCAGAATGCCGCCCCTAGAAATGTGCCGCCCCAAGCACCTGCTTGTTTTGCTGGTGCCTGGAGCTGGCCCTGGGAGAGGGGATGGGAGCCAGACCAGATCAGTAGAACAGGTCAGCCACTGACTCACCACTCGCCTCCTCAGCCCCCCCCCCCCCCCCCCCCCCCCCCCCCCCCCCCCCCCCCCCCCCCCCCCCCCCCCCCGCCCCCCCCCCCCCCCCCCCCCCCCCCCCCCCCCCCCCCCCCCCCCCCCCCCC